GATGCTTTGCAAAAAATTGCATTGATTGGAGTCTGAAAACAAAAAAGCTCCAATTATTGTCTCCCTGCCCCAAACGTGAGAGCAACAAGTTTATAAAATATTTTACTATTTTTAACTAGACTTATATTCATTTATAATTTTTAAACTTCATAGTAAAATATTTTAGCGTTCAAAAATTATGACCATATAAAGTTTAAACCCTCCTCAATTTGAGGGGGTTGCAAATTTTATACTGTCATATTTTTTGAACGCTGAGAGATAATTCTATGAAACTTAAAATTTATCAATAAATATAAGTCTAGTTAAGAGTAATACAAAAAGTATTTCATCAATTTGTTGCTCTCACGTTTGGGGCAGGGGGAAAAAATGTTGGGGCTTTTTTGTTTCCAGCTTACAATCATCGCAATTTTTTGCAAACTCTGAATATTTAATATAAGTATAAACATATAAATGTTTAGAGTTAGCTCCATGTCTGGAAGTTAGATATTTCGAAGGCCAAAAAATGCTGAATCCGCCCCTGTATTATATATATATATATATATATATATATATATATATATATATATATATATATATATATATATATATATATATATATATATATATATATATATATATATATATATATATATATATATATATATATATATATATATATTTCAAGTTGACAGTCAAAATGAAATTGAGATATCTTAATATTATGCTGACTTTAAAACAAAATTTTTTAAATCAGAGTTTTTATTGTTTGTCAGTTGCTTAAAATAAATTACTATGTTTATTTAGTTTTTTTTTTTTTTTTTTTTTTTTTTTGTATTATTTCCTATATAAATAAATATAATATCTATGCGTTTATGAGTATTTACAAAACTCCGTAAAAGATTTTTTTAATCATTTTATTTTTTTCATTTTTATTTTTGTATTTATAACAGTGCTATTCTTAATTGAGCAAGGTTCTATGTTTTGCTGTTTAAGGTAGCACGTTGTGTGTCACACTTTTCCTGCGCGGGTTTAACTTTCCTTTTTTTACAATTGTTCACAAGTTTTCGTTTTCATTTTACTGTTAAGGGCAATACCATTACACCCGGAGTTTCAATTTCGTAAGTTTTTTATGGCTAAATGCAACTAATATATGAGAACCCATGCCTGACGCCTACTGACATGGTCTCTTGGCAACCCTGATTGTATATATCGCAGCAATGTTAGCCCCCATATTAAAATGATAGCCGCTTAACAAACAACAAGAATGCGCTTTTCAAAGTTGTCCTTTTTTCTGAAAGAAAAGCACACTTAACATGAACAAAAATGCAAAAACAAAAAACAATAATAAGTTAAAGACTAGTTCGCATTCAAATATTCACATGATTCAAGTGCAAAACTTACCGATAGATTTAAATAGTTTGAGCATACTAAGGCATGTTTTGTTTTTGGCGACCAACGTTTGTTTTTACTTGCAGGATCAGTTCTGCATATAAGATTTAGATAAAACTTTCTTCTTATTGGATTAGCAAGCAAAATATAAAAATTCAAGTTTAGGTGACTTTTAACATTGGTTAAACAACCATAAACACAGCATCCTTTCACTATTTTCATTATCTTCGTATTACTCCTTTGATCAGACCTTTGTATGGGTGACACCATTTTTATGAATCATTAACTTATTACTACAAATAATATTATGCTTATAATAATTATTAAATTATTTATTACTATAATTTAATCAGTGATAATTATTATTATATTTATTACTATTAATATTAATTTAAACAGTGATAAACTTTTTTTCCAGTGAACATAACGTTGCAAAGACATATTAAATATCTTTGAAGTAATGCAATACAAATACAACATTTTATTACCAATAAAATGATTAACTCTTTATTTATAGTATAAGGTATAACCACATTGAAAACACAAGTTTAGATAGCGAGTTTTAAGTTGTATTTGTTCCCTTATATATAAAAGCTTATCATCTTTATCTGGTCACGGATAAGAAGAAACTCCACCCTTAAGCATTGTGGCTATCTCATAGCCATCAGCCACAGCTTGCACTATTTTTTATGAAAACAGCTCCCTTCATACTCTACAGTAAAGAGTTCATCATTTTCTTGAGTAATTGTATCTTTATCTGAATAATTTTTATACCACTCAGAATTGTTACTATTCCTCAGCTCAGTGACGTAAATTGATGAGTTTGACTCTTCGTAGCGTTTCTTGATTTTTTACTTAAAATTTTTTTAATGGTTCTCTAACAAATCATAAAAACATGAAACATGCGTATTACAATGTGTTAATATAAACAAAGGAGCTACTTAGTAATTGACCACCCTGGTCAATTAATTAATTTTCTAAATTATTTGACTACCCTCATAATTACCTCATGACTACAGAACGATAGTAAACAGACGATAAATAACTTTTAACTAGAGTCAAACATTCCTATTTTGAAATATAATTATCTAATGTTAAAATAAAAGGTACTTCTGACTTTTTAAATTAACCTTATTTGCAACGTGTCCTCAGCAAATTTTGAAAGAAAACTTAAAAACTAGACAAAGAGTGTAACAGATTAACATCGACTGTCAGCCATTTTTGTTTATAGTTGCCGCGTTTTTTTTTTTTTTGCCGCTGTGCGCACAGCTAAATGACAAAAGAATAGGTTCACACTGTTTGTGTGAACCTATTCTTTTGAGAGGGAAAATTGAACAATTTTCCCTCTAAATGGTCAACTACTGGCGCATGATCAGTTAATTCCTCATTTACCTTTAGTTTTACGACTTTTCTTGTTGAAAATAGTCACACACAAACCAAAAGTTCCAATTTATCATAGATGCGAATGTATAAAATTTCAAATAATTTTATGATCGTTATATTTTAATTCTAACTTTTTTAATTAGAGAATAATTTTTAGTTTTTATGCATTTAACAGTGAATAGTTACATCATAAACTATAAATTATAAATAGGTAAAATTGTCATAAATTATAAATAAGTAAAAGTACGAAAAGTTACTGTATATATCGAAAAAATTCTATAAAGTACTCTGCTTAATTAAAGCGTAGTATACAATTTTTATGCTTTGTTAGACATAATAAATCTAAGCTGGAGGTTTTCTTTTTTTTTTACATATCAAAAAGATTATGAAGAATTTTGAATGCTTTTTCTACCCACTGATTTATTCTGGGAATTTCCAGTCTTAGTGGTTCCTGATTCCAAAACCTTTTCACTGAGTTTAACGTTTTGTTTAATAGCTTTGTGAAGCTTCTAAATAGCTTCCAATACTCTGCATTGTACATTTGGTCAGTAAACTAATGGTCTGCCTATCTGTAAGAGATGAATCTACAAATGTTGAGTAGAAAGTCTCTTCTCTCTGGTAAAAAGAGCTAATATTGATTGGGAATTCCATCTTGCATTATTTAATTTAGGTATTTTCTGAAACTTCACTTTAGAATATATTCCAAATTCTTCAAAAAAGCGGAATACCCAAGTTAGATGAAATAGAAATTATATATCATCACGCCATCCTGCTGTTTCACTGATCACTTCTTTACCATTCTTGAAATTCTTCCTGAGCTGTTCGTAGTTCTTTACAAGTTCCGGGATAAAAGGATATTCAATATTGACCGACATGTTGTTTCACCCAATTTCATCATCCATTACCACGCAAAGAACTCATTAAAAAACATGATTTTGATAAGCAATTAGTTGAGGATCCTCAATTTTCTTTTCAGTAAAACGTCTTTGTTACTGACTGACAATCCCGTTCCTTTTTCCGGTGTTTACATTCGTGGCGTCTGCTACAATCATTTTTATATTTTTCCATATATTGTATTAATCAATAGCTGTTATACCTTTAACAACAATATTTGCTTTTTTGTCTGGAAGTGCTTGTAGCTTATCTTTTCTTTGTTTATTCTTCAACACTAACACCTTATATTTTAGGTGACTAATACGTTTACTTATATTTTAGGTGACTAAGACGTTTACTTATATTTTAGGTGACGTTTACTATCAAAGTGTTACAGTTGTTATAGTAGATTTTAAGCACATTTTTTTCCTTTTAGATGGATTAATAGTTTTAAACTAATAGACCCAGTTGTATATCCGAACTATTTTTTGTTTTCAAATTGAAAACAGTACAATCTTTTTTCCTCACTGTATAGCCATTCATCATCTTTTTTTGTGATGCCAAAAACTTCATTCAATAGATCGTATTTTCTTTGTTTTACACATTTATCGTACCTCTTCAACACTTAATCCAGTTTTTCCTGCATGACTTGAATTGATAAATGTAGAAAATTTAATTTGTTTTGCCATGAACTTGTAACTTCTTTCTCAATTTGCTTTATGCGTTCTCGCCCGCCTTTAATGGATTTTTCCAAAAACAGATAGCGGCAAACAATTTGGATTTTGAGTGGTACCTTGCTGTTATCTTTCAGTGATTGTTCTTCTAGTGGAACAATACTTCTATTCGTATGTGATTCATAAAATTGTATGAGATTCTTCATCCAGATTGTCTTGTTTCTTTCAGTAGTGGAAACACTTTTCTTATAGGATATTATGATTGAAAATAATACTTGAATATACTTCTGAAAGACAATAGCAATAGATATGTACTATAGTACTTCTACATTATTTGACTGCATCTAACAAATACAAGTTTATATATATATATAATATCAGCGTTGCTCAAGGGCAGCTTATATAGTCTAAATCTTGCTAATTTTCATAAACTTCTAGAAGACTCGACAATTAATTACAAAACATAAGTTTTGTAATTAATTGTGAGTTTTTTGTTGTTATAGTTATGAGCCTTATAAGGCTCATAACTACAAAACAACAAAAAGTATTATAATACAAACTTTATTGTATGTTTTGAAAACTTAATGAAACAAAAGGAAAAGAATAAAAAAGCACGTAAGTTGCAAAATGTTTAAGGTGAGCCTTTGTTTTTTTTTAATAATCTATTTTATTTGATTTGTTAGGTTTTATTTTTTTTTACAGATTTGTCAGAATTAGGAAATTCAAGTGCTACATTTCCAAATATTGATATCGAACAACCACTTTCATCTGAGTTTACTGTATTACCCAACGATAAAAAAAAAGAAAATGCACATCAAAAGTTTGGGAATCTTATAAAAAAAATTGTGATGAATGGTCATTGTAAAGCCAAGTGTAATTACTGCTTGCATTATTTATCGGCAAGACTTACAGATGGAACTAGCCACTTGGTCAAACATTTGTGGATTAAACACCCATAAGTTTGTTCCCCAATAAAAGATCAAACCTTTTTACTGAGTGAATATGTAATAAATGACGGAACATTTGATTTGAAAAGTTTCAAAATTAACCAAGAAAAAAGTAGAAATGATTTAGCACGTATGATAATACATCACGAATAACCTTTTTTGATTGTGGAACAATGCGATTTTTGAGAATATTGTAAAAATCTTTAACTTCTTTTTAAAATGGTTCGTCAATTTTAGACAAAGTGGTATTCATTACTGCAAATACTATGAAACGGTCTAACAATTGACATATATGTCGTTTATTAGCGTTTATTGCAATTTATGGTGGATGCATTTTATGGCGCCTTTAATGATAAATGTGCATTAAAACATAAATCTTTGTTTCAATTTAAGTTTTAAAGCGAGTTTCAAATAAATTGAGTTTCAAGCTGAATTTTAAATTAGTTTTAGGTGACTCTTTGCATTATATTAGTTTTTTGCTTTTACGAAATAAAAAAATATTTTTAATCATAATATAAAAACGAATCAATTTATGTTTTTTTAAAAACATCTTAAATAAAAAAAATATTTTGAATGACTCATGTATGAAGAACGTATCCTAAAAATTCTTCATGTATGAAGAACGTCATGAATTCTACATGTATGAAGAACGTAATGAATTCTACATGTATGAAGATCATATCCTGAAAATTTCAGCTTAACTGCTTAATTTAAACTGGTGATGTTTTAAAATTAAAAAAAAAAACTAAAAATCTCAAAATGAGAAAAATCAAGTCAAAAATTAAAAATCAAAATTTATGTCGGTAACTAGGGATTTCCGGACTTTTTTCTTTCAGTTCATTTCGCTTCTGGCTGTAGATATAATTTTTTTACAATTTTTTTAATTTTTGGTTACTAATGATTAATTAAAGATTTTTGAGAATAAAAAGAGAATAAAAAGTTATTAATTATTAACAAAAATTAATATACTGTAATTGACAAACTACAATACCGAATTAACTTCACAAGTGATTTATGGACATCTATTCAAAATCAGTCTTATTACGGCACTATATTGATAATAATCGGCAACTAAAAAAGCATGTACTTAATTTTATTGATATTGAAACGCTTCATACTGCAATAGCACTAATTAAAACGATCCTTGGAAAGTTCAATTTTCTATCAATGGAACATTGATAGAAAAATAATGTGCAATGTTTTAGATAACTGTTTCATAAATGACGCAATAGTTAAAATTCTCAAATAGAACCTTTATACTAAACTAGTTTGTGAAGATTTTTTTTCATGTTAGATGTTTTGCACAAATTGTAAATTTGGTTGTTCAAAAATAATTTACGAATAATTTACGAATTGTACAGGGTTTCTATATTTTTGAACACATTAAACATTCCAGTGCTAAAGGAAATCATTTTAACTCTGTCTATTTCTTCTGCTTCTTTTGTATATACAAAAAGAGTTGAGAGATTCAAAAAATATGTTGCTCTAAAAAATTCTTTTTTAGAATTAAAGAATAAATTGTAAGTAAATATTGATTAAGACGGATTTGATATGCTTGAGTGGTGGAGACAGATTTCCAGTTATACAATGTTTAGCAAAAGATATTTTGTTTATTCCGTTGTCTACTGTTACTTTTGAACCAGTCTTTAGCACAGATAGTAGAATTTTTGATAAATATTGTCCTTCTATGATGCCAACTAAATTGGAACACGTTGTACGCTCTCAAGATTGGATAAAAAATGAACTCCAAAGTAGTTAAGTTTGTATACTTCAACTTTAATTTTCTTTAGTTTATTTGTTAATTTTTTTTAATAAACAGAGAAAAACAGCAATATGTCCGTCATTAATGAAAACAAAAACGAAACATTTCTAATTTCTTAAAAAAAAGCAGAATCATGAATTTGTTTTAACAGTTATCATAGTTGATTGTATAAAAAATATTATTTTTGAAAAATGTTTCCTGGTTTTATTTTCTTGAAGTTTTTATTGTCCACTATTTTAAATGATACTTTAAAAGGAAAATAAAACTCTATCACGTTTAAATAGCAACCATAACGCAATGAGCGAAGCGCTTACTTCAGAATCAAAGGGTTCACGTAACCAGCCGTGGCATATTGGTTAAAGCCTTAAAATCAAAAGGTCCGAATTTGAATTCTGCTCTGATCATAATGGCAACATTATTGTGGAAAGCAGCGTAAAATAAATAGATGAGTGTGCTTGTGGTGTTCTGAGACACGACCGTTAGATCTTCTTGGATCGCTTAAATAACCAAGAAAAAAGTTTTATCAGCCTTTTTCATAAAATCAAATAAAAACTATATTTTAAAAGAAAGCCGCATAGGACCCATAAATTTTTTGTGATGCCCCAGAAAAATAGTTTATCGAATACTCACAAATTGTTTTATGTTTTATGGCTAATTGCTTTAGTGTTTAAGTATTTTAATCATTGAAAGCTGAAAAAATGACTTCAATTAACCCTTAGAGATCTTCCACAAAGAACGTACGCAGGTATGGGGGAGGGGGTTATTCAAAAACGTACGATTCGTGCAATAAAGCTGGTGGGTGTTAAAAACAGCGAATACGAACACGGTTTTTATATTTTTAGATGTTTATCTTTTCTAAAATTTGATTCTTTTATTTTTATTTTTAACAAAAGCATTGAGTTTTACGAACTGTGGGGAAAAGATAGTAATTTTTGAAATAAATAATGCGTACCCCCATAACTGTTAACGGCCACGATGACACAATAGCCCACACCAAGTAATCTTACCCTTTATTTATTTATTTTTTTTTTGTCACCCAGTAATGTTACGCTTTCAATAGCCCACTCCCAGTAACGCTACGCACCGGTTTTGTTCTTGTTTTGGCATGACCGGGGCAGGTTTGGACCCAGACCCGCTAAGTACTCATTAAGTAAATTGTACCCGTATTTAGAGTAAATGAATCGTATTCGTATCTGTTAAGTAAGTCGGGTACCAATCCGGGTAGGTCCGTTGATACCCGACCCGGTTAGGGTCTGTTGAAATCCAGACCCATTTCTACAAGTTGGATCTGGATCCGGTAGTAACTAACACAGACCCAACCTATTAACAGTCCTAGGTAGTATGAGTGTTTTAATATATAGCAGGTTAAAGCATGTAAATATATAGCAGATTTTTATACTTATAACAAAATAATTTTTAATAGTTTTATGATTTCAAATCTTAATTGTTTAGTATCATCAAGTCTATATAATTTTGAAAAAAATATCTTATATAGTAAATTTTATATTTATTGGTAAACACGAAATTTTTTTTAACATGTATAAAAAACCTCCATTAAAATTTAATTTTAATGAAATTTAAACATGTTCACTATTAGCAGTTTACAAAGAAAAGATTAGTTACGTTCACTATTAGCGGTTTACGAAGAACGATCTTCTTCAAGTTTTCGTGGCTAGTGTTTGAAGCCCCCTCCTTCCCAAAAAAACAACCTGTCATTAGGATCTTAGGGTTCTAGGTATTAAAAAATAAAATAGTCCCTAAATTTGCCCCTCCCCCACTTGGGGCGTGGGGTAGCCTAGCTATAGTTCTATCTTGTGTTCTTCTATTTATAAAAAAATGGCAGTTGAGGCTCCTGATTCCATAAATATTAGATTTTGATGCAGTTATTAATTATTTTATTATCAAATGTCAGTTATTTTCTTTGCAAAAAAAACAAAAAAAAAAAAAAAACTTGCTTAGCACATTTTAGCTTATTGAAATACGTAAAATACGATAATGGGTAAACTTTTACTACTGAAATCTTAATGCAAACAATTATCAGTAAATGATCCACTGTTGTAGTTGAGTTAACATCCCTCTCCAAATCATCTTTCAGAAACATAAATCTATTAGCATTCCTTCCATCTTACACCATGGTACCTTTTCATTAGTCTGTAACAATATTTCAAGCAGTTTTGAAAAGCTGACTTAACACAAAAAAAGCATAGTACAAAGTACTTTACTTTTTATGTGTTTAGCCCCAATTCCTATCATAATGTAGAGCTTAGGCGTATGAATAACGTGTATAAAAAAAGATACATGATCTTCATATTAGTAAATTAAATGAGACTTTATAACATTTTTGAGTACCTTCATTTAAAATTTTTTTTTCCTGCTTATATGCAAATTGATCTTAACATGAGTCTATTGAGCCTAATCTTCTTAACTTACCTGTTTTGAAGGAACATTTTTCTTCACAATACAAAGAGACATATTTGCTAGAGTGACTTGAAAGTCTTAAAACAATATTTTCACAATTTGGATCAAATGCCAGACTAAAATACACTTTTTCAAGTTTAAGAGGTGTGCATTATTTTTGGCGATTATCCTCTGAAAACCATCTCCGCAATCACAATATAACGTTTCACGCCAGAATCTTCATATATAACTAGTGGAAGATTAATGATTTTTGGATCAAAAATATTGAACTTTTAAAAAGTTAACACTTCCACCTATAGATACTCTTACGATTATATTAAAGTTGTCTCTATATTTGTAAATTTGATAAATTCTATTATATTCTTGACATACACTATATCTCTAACAACTATCTGATCACCATCAACAGGTTCCTTTGTTTTACATTCATATGAAGTATTTAGAGTTCCCTGCAATTCAATCTTTTTTATTTATGCTTGATACTCCAACACCAGTAAGATTCCTTCAATTTTTAGAGAACACACTAGATCGCTCTATAATAGTTTGGAATGAGATTTAATTGACTTTCTTTTTGACTTTCACCCGTAGACAACATGAACTGCTCTCCACTAACAATGCTTCCACTTTCCATTTTACGTTTCAACAATCCAGTTGCTACTCACTCTGCTCTTTTATTTCCACATTTCCACGTGATTTACTGATATCTATAATGTTGCTAAAAAATCAAATGACATCAATTTTTTAAAAAAAATGCTTTAATTTAATAATTTTTTTTTAATATTTATTTTTGTATAATTAGATAATTTATTAAATATAAAATTACTTTGAATAAAATGCTTTTATAAAAATCATAAAAATGCCAAAGTGGGCAAAAATAAATAATAAATGGACTATCAATAAATGGAAACGTGGATCGACGTGTTGAAGTTTGAAATCTTTAGTTTAAGGAAGTTGTTTGTCAAAACTTTTTGAAAATACAGCATTTTAAAAATGCTGTCTCTTCAAAAAGTTGGGTTCATTCAATTTTTGTCAAAGTCAAAAACATATTCTTAAAAGCATTGTATAAGTGATTAGACTGAGTTAGATGATCAAATGTTGAATAGAATTATTTGGCCTTCCCAATCACCAAATCTCTCTCATATCGGAACTTTATGAGATGAATTAAACGTAATGTCGAAATCTAATGCTAAATGATGCAAAATATGTGGAAAAAAATTATTAGTGAGTGGCACTTCGACCAATTGGATAAGTCGCTAAGTAGAATGCCAAAAAGTGGCTATTACCGCTACTGTTAATTAAATAGACAGGTAAATTATAAACTAATCTACTGGGACTTTTTTTATTAATTTTAAAGTACAATTAAGAAATAGGAAGACAATATATATAACTCAGGTAGATTTAGCATTTAAGTTAATCTGGAGTTACCTGGGTCTGATTACAACGATTTTTAAATGAAGTAACTTATACTGATGAATATAAAACTTATCCGTATTTATAACTTTTTTTAAAATACAAATACAACCTAAGCAATCAATAGTTCCACTTAAAGAGTAAAAACAAAAACGACGATGAGTAAATTGTTTCAAAACTATTTATATACTAACATAACACTTTTATACATACACATTTATTTAATATTTAAATCTCGATAGGCTTTACTAGAGGTTTTCTAATATGCCTCATATTAGATCCTAACTCAGTAGGCTTAAAAGGAGCATTCGATCCATAAGGTTTAGGAAGAGGTAAACTAGAACTGTCATCAGGTATATATGCATTAGGGCGAGGCTCAGCGGTTGTTATAACTACACCAGGTAACATATTTTGTTGCAAATGTTCATCTGCCTATAAAATCACAAGTGTTTGGAATTAAATAAATTAAAAAGAAAAAGATAAAAACAGATACAAAAAGATAAAATATTTATAGTATGTATACATATTCTAAAATTTTCTAATTATTTTAATAGCTGGACATACATACATACATGCATACATACGTATGTATGTATGTATGTATGTATGTATGTATGTATGTATGTATGTATGTATGTATGTATGTATGTATGTATGTATGTATGTATGTATGTATGTATGTATGTATGTATGTATGTATGTATATATGTATGTATGTATGTAAAAAAGCACTAATTTTCAACACTTTAAAATAGCAACTAAAAAAAATAAAAATTTAATTTTTTTTAAGTGTCTAGTAAATTTAATTTTAAGACCTGACAGCATTGTTATAAAAAATTTACATTAATAATTATTGCAGTTGTCTCTTAGTAAACGAAACAATGAATTAATATGATTTTATTTTCACTAAGTAAAAATTTGTCGTTCAACAAACTTTACCTAAATTATGTGTAAATCGCTTAACATATTTACAAATATTATTAATCACAAACTAATAAAATTATAACCCATTTTGAGCATGTTAATACATTTTGACGGTAGTTTAAATTTTAAAAGGGGTTCAAGTTTTCACGTCATGAACAAGCCTATTCAAACCAGGTTTTAAATAGCAATCCAATATTTTGGTCAATAGAATACAAATGTACATTTAGCAATAAACCATTTTGGATAAAAATTGTTGGTATTACATAGTAGAACACTCATGTAACCCTTATTTTAAAAATAGCAACCAAATATCATAGTAGTCGGAAACGTTTTGAGGAATAAGTAGCAAAAATCTAATAAATTTAAACTATAATTGCTACATATGGTTGATTTTATCTACATTATTAATGTTTGATTTGCTCATGGTTTGATATTTCAATATTACTGAAAATTTTTACTATTTATATAATTTTGTAATCAAAATGTTGAGTTGTATACATTAAATCAACATTGATTTATATACATTGAATCAACACTGTTATATACATTAGATCAACCTCAACTGAACATTGTATACGTTGTTACATACAACTTATTAATATATGTTGGACCAATGTGCAAACTGTTTTAAGTCGCGTCGGTATATCATACGTACTAGGTGTGTGTATGACATACATATGCAAACCCAATGTTGATCCAATGTAATGTGTTATGCAATGATATGAATAAAACGATTAATACCGATCCGACTAAATTACACACAATATGTATGTATGTATGTATGTATGTATGTATGTATGTATGTATGTATGTATGTATGTATGTATGTATGTATGTATGTATGTATGTATGTATGTATGTATGTATGTATGTATGTATGTATGTATGTATGTATGTATGTATGTATGTATGTATATATGTATGTATATATGTTTATATGTAGGTATGTAGGTATGTATGGAAATAAATGTTATGAAAAACAAAGATAAAAATCTTCATTTTTAGATTTTTGGCAAACTTAATACCTGTACAACAATAATAGTACAACTTTAATAATTTATTTTTAGCCTATGTTTTTAAAATTTAAATAAATAAATTTTTTTATGAACAACTCAACAATTTTCTAGGTTAATATGTACAAGTGAAAACAGAAAAAAAAAATTTGATGTAAAATGATAGCCAAAAACAAATAACTAACGATATTGTGTAAAGCCATCAATTTTTATGAAAGTTATGCTCTAATTTGAATAACTTATGAGAGTAACGAAACCTTTCACAGAGTTTTAAAGCATGTATTTTTAAAATAAAAGAAACCTTCTTTTTGGCTTGAGCTTTAAGTTGTCTCTCTTCATCTTTCAAATATCGAAGCCAATCTTGTTCAGCATTATCGTAAGGTGCAATTCCTTGTTCTAATCGTGTTCGACATTGTTGCAGAAACGCTTCTTTTTCTTTAACCTCTTGATGATATTTCATTGATAAAGCCTATGAATGTAGAGTTCTTATTATAAATAAATATAATAAAAAAAACACAAATAGATCCTAAAACCTTACTTGATTCATAGATAGTTCTGAAACAATTGCCATCATTTTGCGTGTAGCTTCTTTAATTTTCACTTGCACATCGCTAACCTAGTAAAAATATTTCAGCTGTTTTCAAAAGGATTAGGTAAATATAAATTTTCTTTCATAGTGAAAATTTCAAACTTGGGTGTCAAACACAAAAATTTGGGTAATTGTTTTTTCAAATTATTAGGGTTACTAAATATAAGTATATAAACCCAAATAACTTGTATTCTTAAATGTAGTTGAAAATAAAAATTTGTATTTACACAAATAACCAAATATACAGATACAATAAATAAAAAGATGTTATAAAAATTAAATGGTGACAAATTAATAAAAATGATAAATTATGGAAATCCATCTTTAAATAAAATACCACTAACAAATCAACAGCTAGATAGACAGTATATATTAGAGATGTCACAAATATTTAAATATTTATTTTAAAAATAATTGGGATATTGGATACTTAAAATCTAAGGTGGTAGGTTATGATAAAAATATTTTCATTGCTTGATGATGATGCAAATTCCCTATATTTTATATATACTTTCAAAAATAGCCATTCACTATGTACACTGCCACCTGCAAAAAAAAGAAAAGTTTACCAAGTTTTGTAAGGATAATCTTTTGCACTTGCTGACCACAACTTGTTAGGGTTTGTTGTCTAATTTTAGCAAACAGTTTCATATAAAAACTTATTTCATTTGCAATCGAACTTTTCTTTTCCACACCTTCATATGTGTGCATATTTTTAGAAATAGGTTTGAATATTTTCATTTACATTAATTTTTCTTATGAAGTGGATATTAATCATTACCGGTGCTACTAGGCACCAGTAATGGTTCATCGGTGTCAAACAGCCTTTCACTGAGAAAGATTTATTCTTCCTCAGAGATTTTAAATTTTTGCTGTTGTTTTTCTTGTTGAGTTTTAAATAATCTCTTGAAGTTTTAAAACATCAATAAAAAAGACTGTATAATTATTACTACGGCTACTGTATAATTATTACTACGGCTACTGTATAATTATTACTACGGCTACTGTATAATTATTACTACTGCTACTGTATAATTATTACTACGGCTACTGTATAATTATTACTACGGCTACTGTATAATTATTACTACGGCTACTGTATAATTATTACTACGGCTACTGTATAATTATTACTACGGCTACTGTATAATTATTACTACGGCTACTGTATAATTATTACTACGGCTACTGTATAATTAACATTCCCATTAAAGTTAAATGCATTAAAGTTCAGGTTGTAGAGAAGATATCAATTTTAATAGGTTTAGAGTTCTTCGTGTTATCAATAGGAACTTCTTAAATTACCTCAGAAGTGCAAGATATATCTGAGTTGGTTATTTTTGTAACCTTTTTGAATGGTTTGAAGAGTATGATTTTTTTAATACATAACTTTAGTTAAAACAATTTGATGTAACAGTCAATAAATAATGCCTGCTGTGACATGGCCTAGTCACAATTTAAACAAAAAAGAAAAACATCATAGTTGATGTATTCACTTTAATGAAGTAGGTTTGAACCTTCGAAACCAAGTGTCACTGAATATTCGGCTGCCGAATACACGGTGCTTTGTTCAAGAGCCTAACAGAGTATTCACTATTTTACAAAATCACTATTCCTGATATCTTTAGTATATATGCATACTATATATTTAAAGCAAAATACTAGAGAAAAAAATAGGACTTGCTCATAAGCAAGAAGTACCAAGTTTGCTCTTGTCTAGTCAAAAATGCTTGTCTGGTTGTGCATTTCTAATAAAGATTTGACAAAACAGCACTTTTTTTCCAGTGATATTACATCTAACTAAAATCTTTACTTAGCTTAAAAAAAAATACTTTTTATTAAAGAATAATGATGATCAATATTTGTTTTTAGTCTAGCACATTATGCCAAAACAGTAAGATCATTCTTGAAAAGAAATTTATAAATTATGCGGCTAAAGTGGATAACCTGTCAAATGTCCCAGAATGATGCCCAATTAAGGATTATTGATGTATTCTAAAAGGAATGGTTTATACAAAGAACTGGCAAGTAAAAAATCTGAAACAACTTCCTGTTAGGATTAATAGCTGTCTCAAGGTAGTTGATAAGGCCAAATCCAAGATGGTTGATGAGACCAAATATAAGATGGTCAATAAGACCAAGTCCAAGATGGCTGCGAAGGTGTTACCAAGTCAACTCACCCTTAAATTGGGAAATTAAGGAAAAATAAACTGATGGAAGAAATTTAATATTGAAAAATTAAATACTTTAATAAATATATTTAGAAATATAATAATAAAAAAATATCTTACATAAATATATTTCTGCTCAACTTTTAGCTGAAAAACTTGAAGAGTAAAAGTAAATTCTGATTCTAATTGATTTTTACTGAACAACCTTTATAAGTACACACTGGAGTAGCAAACACAATATTGTTTATATAGTTTACATACTGTAAACATTTATGCAATACTTTTGCTATTCTGGTACATATACTACAGATATATCCTGATATATATACTACCGACATATTCTGGTATCTATATGCAGATATATATATATAATATATATATATATATATATATATATATATATATATATATATATATATACAGATATATATATATATATATATATATATATATATATATATATATATATATATATATATATATGTATATATATATATATATTTATATATATATATATATATATATATATATATATATATATATATATATATATATATATATATATATATATATATGTATATATATATATATATATATATATATATATATATATATATATATATATATATATATATATATATATATATATATATATATATATATATATATATATATATATTACAGATATATATACTACAGATTCTGGTACTATATATACTACAGATTCTGGTACAGATTCTGGTACGCCACAATTTTAGCATTTTCAGAGCATTTCATTTGTAAAAAAATTTTTTTTTGTTGTATTAGATCTTTTTCATGTACAGCATTAATCTAATAATAATAAAAAAAAAATAATAAGCAGCAATGAACACAGTAAAGGTAACAGTAATGCTAGTAATAATTTAAAAAAAGATTGTACTGAAAACTTCTTGGCCTCAGTAAACAAAAAAAAAAGTTTCTGCATTTTAAACTATATTATGTTTTATGTGTTTTAAATAAATTGTGTTGTTTGATTTTAGATAAAACATTTCCATTAAAACTAGAAAAAAAAAAACAACTTAAAATTGTTTTTAGCACAAGATTTTTATTTAAATTGGCTTAAAGCCATTAAACCATTAACTAACATTAACATATGTTACAACAGGTAAAAAAAATTGTTGCATTAAAAAAACAATTAAAAAAATATATATTAAAATATAAAATGCAATAGTTATTAACAAAAAGCTGCTTTGTGACAGTGGTAAACTGTTTTAAAAGTAAGGGGTACGGAGAATTCACCACATATCTGGAAGTACTATACTCAACTTATTTTCTAATGTAGCACAAATGTAATGGTTTTTTTTTTTTATAACAATTAAGAAAACAATAATATTAGCAATGAGTAGTCTCTTATAGTTGTCCTATGATTATTGAGTCAACTATAGTTTTCTTATGATTCTTGAGTCAACTATAATTTTCTTATGATTTTTGAGTCGAACTATAGTTGTCCTATGATTATTAAGCCAACTATAGTTGTGCTATGATTATTGAGTCAACTATAGTTTTGCTATGATTAATGAATCAACTACAGTTTTTTTATGATTTTTGAGTCAATTATAGTTGTCCTATGATTATTGAGCCAACTATAGTTGTCCTATGAATATTGAATCAACTATAGTTGTCCTATGATTATTGAGCCAACTATAGTTGTCCTATGAATATTGAATCAACTATAGTTGTCCTATGATTATTGAATCAACTATAGTTGTTGATTATTGAATCAACTATGATTCTTGAAAATGTCAATTTAGTAAAAAATATTAATGATGAAATCTGATTTATAAAGAAAAAAAAAATTTTTTTTCTAACTTTTCTAGCAAGATTAATAGAATCTTCTTTTTCAGCTAAATTTTGTTCTTTGCTAACAATTTTTTTCAATTGTTCATAGATTAAATTTTTTTCTTTAAGTTTCTCTTCAACATCAAATAGCTTGAGTTCGAGCTTAAAAAACCACAATAAAAAACACAATCAATTTCATTAAAATTTACAAAAATTATTTAAAAATTTTTATTTATTTTCTATATAAACTTAAAAAATTGCATATTATAAAAACAAACTATGAAAAAAAAAGATTTACATACCATAAAAAATAAAATATCAATACCCCCTCAATTTTCTTTAACAACTCTTCTGAAGATGGTTCATGGCCAGGCAATAGCCTTATATGTCCAGAATTTAAAGGATTCTCTAATGTTTCTTCTATATTCAAAATTTTTTTTTGAGTTTGAGCAAGTTGCAACTGTAAAAATGAAAGCTCATCATTTAAAATATTCTTCTTTGGAACAATGGACTTCAGTATAGAAATAGAGCGTTTGAAATCTTCAGACTCTGTTTTTAAAAAGTTGAACTCTTCTTCACAATCATGAAGCATAGAGTCTATATTCTTAATCAAATTTTTTTGAATGTTTTCTTTTTCATATAGTGCACATACCTCTTCGTTTCTTTCAATTAATTGTAAACCTCTATTATTTCGTTCTTGAACTGAATACTCATAACGATCTTTTAGTTCTACAAGATCACCTTCAGCTATTTGAATCATGTTGTTTAATGCCAAAATGGATATCTTCTACAAAATAAAAAACAAACAATATAAGTTTTTAAAAACTATATACTTTAACCAGAGCTGGATCTACTTATAAACCAAGTAGTAATAAAAATTAAAGATTTTTGTTTTTGAGTGCAAAAATTTAAAATAGAGAAGCTAGAACAGGCTTTTATAATAAAACCTATTTTTCAATCAGTTTTAAGTAAGTTTTCAAACATTTAATTTTTCTTGCAGATATTTTTATATAACACTGTTAGAGCTAAAAATTAAAAAAAAGTCATAACACTGATTCAACCCACTTCATAACAAGCTTATCACAAATAAAGAACCTTTGACAATTTATGCAAAACATTGTATATAAAAAAGTTCTATAGTTTATAATGTATTATTCTATATAATATCTATAGTTTATATACACTATGCATAATATCTATAGTTTATAATATATTTAATATAATATAACTCTCTATTTATACTATATTTTATTTATTTACACTTATTCTTAATTAATTTTAAAGAAAATTGTTTCTACAAATACCTCTGATAAAAAATTACTCCTGGTAGTATTAAAATTTATTAACAAGAAAATGATGGTTGAGCAACTCATGAAAAAAATAAAAAAAAGCATTATTTTGTGCCAAATTTAAAAAAAGCAACTATGCCTAAATTGGTAAAGCCTTTTTTTTATATTTGGCATCTAATTATAGAGTGTCTACTATGTCAGTTCTTGGGTGTGCTCTGAGCAACAAAGAACCAACATAGTAAACAAGAATAAGAAAAAATAGCAGCAAAAAAAATTTCAATGGCATAAAATTGGCCCTTGGGGACTCAGAAAACTTACACTAAATTAGCTTTCAAACTTTGTTTAAAAATTATGAAGAAAAACAATAAAGAAAAAACTAAAACCTGTTGTTCTGATTTCTCTTTTAATAAATTAGTCTTCACTTGTTGTTTGCAAATATCTTTTCGAATATTGTCTCGTATTATTGTATCATTTAATAGCACTTGTTTAGACTTTTGGAACTGCCTAAGCAATAAAAAATCATACTTCAACGAATTGAGCAAACTTAAATGGTTTATAAATAATAACTAGATATAATGCAAATTTGAATTATTTATAAATAATAACATTTAATACAGATAACTACATAACTTTAATAGCGGTCTCTACAAAAACTCATTAAAAAAAAACTATGTATAATTATAGTTTCTATTTAATTTTAACATAATAAAATTTTACATCAAACTTAAAAAAGTCTATAATATAAAAAAATGACAAGAGAAATAAAATATTATGGTGTTATCAAACTATGCTCTAAATGACTTAAGAGCTTTTTAATAAACTGTAAGCAATTTAGACAATGGTAGTTTTTAAGCTTATAATCTCCTAATAAGAAGTGGTGGACCTCAAGACTCTAACTTAAAATCATAAAAATTCTTTTATATAAAAATAACTTTTTTAACGTACTTTGAGTGATTATAGCTACTTTTTAAGAGGGTATACTAAAAACAAGGGCACAAAGTCAATACTGTATGGTTTAAAGAATTGATTTGGGGCAGGAAATATTAAAGTATAGTTCTGATATTTTAGGGCAAAAACAGTTTTTTCCTAAAATATTGTTTGCACAAAAATGTAGAAACATATTGCTACTGTAACAGGATAGGAGATAAATAAAACTACTGTTAAAAGAAATAACTAATATTATTAAAAATAAAACATCTACTGTAATTACTACTGTAATGAGATATTCCATAAAGATTATTTTTTTTTTACAAAAATACTTTTTGCTTTGGTAAAACAAAAGTGGTTTAAAACTTCTTTTTTTTTTCAAATTTAATCCACTCCAACAACAATACTGGAAGTAACAACTATTAAGTTGGGAATTACTAGAAAACAAAGAATATAGATAATGGAGACAAGGAAACAGAAAACTTAAAAAACTTGCAACTTTGCTGAATGACGAGTCAAGTGAGATTGAGCTTTAGTTGGTGGAACTAGAGATGACAGTTCTTTTTGAGTAGCAACCATGGTAGCATTTGCAAAAAAGAAAAAGAGAGGCAACCTTTACTTTAATGACTAGTAGAGAAAAAGCATCATAAAAAAAAAATATCTTATATGACAACAGTACTTCATACAAGGACAAATAAGAGATTTGTGTAGGTAGAAAATCAAAGCAGGAGTAAGATAATAGCAAGCACAGTGAAGTAACCTTAATAGATGCTAACTTTGCATCTGATTGTATATATGATTTTGATGAGAGGTCAGTAGTAAATGATAATTCAAGAAGATGTAAAAAAGAGAACTCAGTTTGCATTCATTGAATTCAAGGAATATCCACAGTATTGCAATAGTACAAGCAACTGCAAGCCCAAAGCTGTAACAGAAATGAGATCAGATTCAAAACTAGCTGCCTATTTTAAGAGATCAAATAGAGAAGACTTTTTGTCAAGACAGGAGTATAAAGTTGAATTGTCACCAAATAGAGTCACTATAGATGTTGGGAAGATCATAAATGTAGATAAAAAACAATACAGGACCAAGATCCTTGAGGTACCCAGAGGTTACCAGAAAGCAAAAATGTTAGTTATTAAAGTAATTTTAAAAATCAAAATTTATTGCAAAAAGTTTTAGAATAACTTAATGAAAGATTAAAAATGCAACAAAAACAACAAGTAAAAAATTTTAAAATTAAAATAACCTCTCTTTTTCAACAGCAGAATTTCTGAGCATTTCAACTTCATTTTGCAAAACCTTTGCCTTCTCTTGCAACTCTGCAGCGCATTGAGTGCTTGTTTGGAACAGGTTGACAAACTTGTTTCTTTCATTTTTAATAATATTATACAATTTAGAAAAGTCTCCCAGCCTGAATAAATAAATAAAAAATATAAAAAATATTAATATAATAGAGAGTCACTACAATCAAAAAGACATTTTTTTTTTAAATTAATTTTTTTAATTGTTATTTTAACTTTTTGTTATTATTAGACAAATGCTTTTACAATTATATTATTATAACTACTATTATTATTATTAAAATTATATATACAACTATAATATTTTAAAAATATCTTTATTACATTTTTTCTGTTATTGTATTTAAATTTGTACATTGCTTAAAATGAGGAGGGGTGCTATCCTTATACCTTTTTTAAAAGTATAAACCAAGATGGTTTACAGCAACGTTTTTATATATCTTTTAATATAAAAATGATTAGATGCGATAATATTTTGAATTGAATTAAATTAGAATACCAAAGACAAGCTATGAAATTAAAACATTATACCAACTCCCCCTAACCCCCCTAACCCCCCTCCCACATCAAGCACTGGATGTATATACAATAACAGGCCTTAGCGAGAGCAAGTGATTACAAGAGCGGTGAAAAGCTCTCCTAAAACATGGCAAACCATGCAAGCTGCTCCTCTAAACTGCTTTTAACAAGAGCTTATGGTTTTTGCACAAGCCATCTGTTTATTTATATAAAAATTGCTTATTAAATACAAAATTTGGTTTTATACTTGTTACAAGCATATGTTTGTAACAATAATGTTACAATAATATACATATAACAAGCATTTATTGCGCCTTGAAAAAAATTTTTATACGTATTTTTGCATTTTTAATTTTAGTTACAATGATAATTGTATATTTGAGGAAAAAAAAAATACTTTTGTAAGAGCTATAAATTGCTCCTGTAAACCATTTTAGGGGAGTGTGGGGGCAAGAGTGAGAGCTAAAGCTCGCACTTTTCGCCAAGACCTGAATTATATTACTGGATATATATACAATTTTTTTTGTAATATAGCACTTTTTCATAAATATAATGCTTTTTAAACCATTATTTTTAAGTGAATCTTTTATTAGCAACTTGCTGATATGTTGACAATTTTTATGGGCTGGCCTTTAGAATCTAAACAAATAAACAAATATTCAAGTGTAAACACTTTACAGTATGTAGATAACATTTTTGCAACTATTGTTAAAGTTTATAGTATATTTTTACAAATATTATGGAAATTGAGTAAAATATTATAAACAATTTTGAAACTATTTTAGACATATACATAAAAAAATGTGTTTTTTGAAACACAAATTCTCAAAAATTAATATAAGGAAAGATATAATTTATAAATGTTTTCTGTTGGATTTCTTTTCAACACTAGGTAATCCATAAACTAAAGATATATGAAAAAAATGCCTGTTCTTGTGTTAAATGAGTCATTTTTAAGTTTTTTTGATATTATTTATTACATTTGCTGGTCAATCTTAATTATCAAAAAAAAAAAAAAGTAAAAGAGTGTGGTGATTTATTTAATAGCTCACAGATAGTAAGCAAATTAAAAATTCTATAAAAACTTGTCAAGCAGTTGCATTAGAGGAAGATTCAGTGAAGGGAAAAAATTGAGTAAATGTATAAAAGGAAATTGGTAAAGTAAAAGTAATCAGTCATCTCCTTTAAAAAATATTTGCATATGCTGATATTTCCCCCAAACACCTTTTCCACATGATTTTGCAAGTGGTTATTAAAGCTATAAAAAAAAACAGGTCTTGTCATGAGTTTTAATTGTTTAAGGCATTGTAATAGTGTAATGATTATTTTACATCAGATGCTGAACTTATTATTACATGATAAGTTCAGCAATCAATTTGCTGATGATGCTGATATTATATGATTATATATTTATATTTTATCATATTATATGATTATATATTTTAGATATGATTATTTATCATCATCATATGATAATGATATATTTTAGTGATTAGTAATATGTTTATCACTAGAATAGAGAAACTCACTATTCTAGTGATAAACATATATTCTAGTAATAAAAATTTATATATATATATATATATATATATATATATATATATATATATATATATATATATATATATATATATATATATATATATATATATATATATATATATATATATATATATATATTTAACATCTTTGCTTCCCACAAGGCTGCAAGCATAGCTTGCGATTATGTATTAATGAAAAGTATGAAATTATCAAAAGTATTTTCTAAAACAATTAATTATATTGATTTTAAAAATCAATACAATTAACTTACAATTCAATACAATTAGTTTATAAATATAAATTATATAAATCAATACAATTAATTGTATTGATTTTAAAAATTAGATAATAAAATCATTTATCTTTGTTACATAATTTGTTAAATATTTTTTTAATTTAATTTATATGAACTATAATTTATATGATCACAATTATGGGCAAAAGCCATTACTTAAAATAATATCATAATGACAGCCTAAGCATTCACAGAAACCACCAGTTGCGCAACTTATAAAATTGCACAATTATTTAAAAATATCACAATTAGTTCATTATAACAAATGCAACACAAGTTAAAAAGAACTTCATGAAATATGAAAAGCTATACAAAACTAGGCAAAATATTAGAAGTTACTCAAAAACATGAGGACTTTAAAAATTTCAGAAACTATTTAAACTACAAAAAACTTGACATAGTAAAATACATCTCAACACAAAGTAATAAAATACAAAATATAAACTATACAAGATATCGTTAATTATAAAACTTTAGAAACTACATGAAGTTGCAAAAACTACTAGAAAAAAAAAAGAACTATTTGAAATATCATGAATTATAAAAAACAGAATTTTAACTATTACCTGATAAAATATTAAAAGCTATGCAAAACATCATATACTTTTTATATATTTATTTTCATTACTAGGTATACATTTATCTAATAAAATTTTTAACAGTTTCACTCTTTAAAGAAATTTTTTCAAAGCTTGAAACTGTTAAAAAATGATAAACTTAAAAAGTTTATCATTTTTTAAATATTACCTTCTATGAACATCAGAGTACATTTTAGCATGATCATGAACAGAAAGTTCCTTTAATCTAAGCTCTTTTTTCATCTTGTTATGTCTGAGTTCAGCTTTTTGATAATCTCTTATTTTCTGCTCTCTACTGTCTACTTTTATCTGTGCAAGTCTTGTCAAATCAGCTATGTCACTACGAAGCTGAGTTAACTCCATCAAATATAAACTTTCTGTCTGATTAATTATTTCAAACTTCTGTTTTTCTAAAGCTGTCAATGTTTTCTAAAAGTAAAATAAGTTGTATGTATGTATGTATGTATGTATGTATGTATGTATGTATGTATGTATGTATGTATGTATGTATGTATGTATGTATGTATGTATGTATGTATGTATTTATATATAAAAACATATATATATATATATATATATATATATATTTATATACATCTATATAAACACACACATACACACACTCTTGCATAGTAGTCTTCAAAATTTTTCAATATGATGTAGCTTTAAATTTAATACTAAAAAGCAAAGTGAGAATAAAATGATCAACATTTTTTTTCTTTAAACTAAAAGAATATTTGCCCAAACCAAAAACCTTAGTTAATGCATGTACACCCACTGAACTAATGGTTATATGATCTGTCAATGTAGTATGTACACTCTGTAGTGCCTATGGCTATCCCAGTTGATGTAAAAAAATAAAAATAAAAACTATAAAAAAAAATATATTAAAATAGAAAAAAAAAATCCAGAAATTATTTGTTGTTTTCTTACAATGCACCCATGAATTTTTTCTTACAATGCATTTATGAATTTTTTCTTACAATGCACAAATGAATTTTTTCTTACAATACAACCATGAATATTGATTTTTGTGGAACTTATTGTGGTAGTTTGAAATTTATCCATATGGTGAAATTTATCTATATAGAATATAATAATTGTAAAAAAAACTTTAATGGGTAACTTTCTAATTTGAGATATTTAAATATGAAAGTTAGACAAGTTTGAAGTCAATAAACTCATTTCTAAACTGTAAAATTTTTGGAAAAACGATATAAAAATTACATCTTAATATGAACATTTATTTGCTAAAAATGTAAGTAAACAATTAAATGTTTGAGGAACATTATAAAAAACTTTATTGTATTAATATTGATTAGGGATGCGAAGTCCGGAGTTGGAGTCTCTATTTTAGCCTGAAGTCTCGAGTCTCGGGAGTCCGTAAAAATTTTAGGACTCCGAAACTCTTTTCTTTTTTTTTATAGTTATTAATATGCTTAAGAAATACCTGATAGTCTTGTCACAAAACAATGTAAAAGAGCATTTGAACTGAAAGCTCATTTCCTTCCTTACCAATTTGAATCAATACTCAGGTTGAGTATTGGTTCAAATGTTATGCCTTGTTAAGAGGCATTACCAAGTACGCATTTTACGTGTGAAAAGGCCATATGCCTATGCTTTCAGCAGTTTAACAATTGTAATCTAATAGATTTTTTATTAAAGAAACAGTTTGTTTCATAATTTTTTTTTGTTAAAATTAATTAAAGAAAATAAAGTGTTTTAAGTTTGCAAGGGAACTCTTGAAGATAAGCTAAAAACTGATTCTTGATTGATGTGTTTTATTTTGTAAAATTTTATTGATTTAGATATATTGTCTCCTGAGAATTGGTTTTGTTCAATAGACCAATTTATATATTGTTAGTAAAACGCGGTTAAAGTTTAGAAGGGTATTACTATTCATATTTTATTAACATCTAGTTTAGGGGTTTCAATTTATCATCTTTACTATAAAATCACTATTAATATGATTCTTAAAGTCTATTTATTTAAAAATAAAAAAATATTTGCATATCTTATTTGGGCATTGAACAAAACTGCACTGAGTACAAAATATTTTACAACTTTATAGGATATTAAACATAAGTCTGTAAATATAAGGATAATTGACAAAGCAAAACAACATTACATATAACATATAATCTTGTTTGCTGTAACATTATCTACGGTTTTATAGAGTCTTAGTGGCAGTCTTCTTTATTTTTTTCTTTTTCTATATTGATCCTTTTGTTTTTAAAATCAATTTATAATAACATTTGGCTGTTTCATAAAGAAGATATTTGAGCATTTTGGCTAAATCTGTTTTTCTATTTTTTAATAGTGAAAAATTAATGCTCAGTTTTTAGAGCCTCAATTTTTGACTCTTGCATTAATTCAGTAGATTTTGTTCCTTAAGAAATTTAAAGTTTATATTGAAAGATGCTCAAAAATTGATTATTAAAAATATATCTTTATTGTACAAAATTTGCTTTATTTTCTTGTGAGGTATTTTAAAAAATAACATTTTTTTTGATTTTGAACAAAAATGATCAGAAAATTTTGATAAGCAATAATTTTTTGTTGTAAATATTAAACAAGCATATCTTAAAATTTTGTAATAGCAGGTTATTTTCAGTAAAAAGTGGATATATCAGGTGACAATATGTAGTTCATTTTAAGAAGATACAATTGACAAAATGTCCATAATATTGGTGTACAATAAAAAAATATGTTATATTTTAATAATATGCAATGTATTAGGTGATGTGTGAAACTTCCTGTTTTCAACTTTATATAACTAGAAGAAAGGAGAGTCATGAGATTTTTTATTCTGTAAATTTGGCAACAACCATCAAACCACTCAAACAACTAAAGAAGTAGCATAACTTGCTACTTCTGTATTGTGGATCCTACAAAACATTGTTTAGACATGAATGTGCCTCAAATTGTTGATTCAGACATTCGTTTTTCCAATACTCTGAGTTCCCTGTTTCCACATCCTCTATTAATTGGACCAACCATTGTCAAGAGAAATTAACAAGTCTAGGAGCAAGGAAGATATTAGAGATACAAATTATGGTTTTGCAAGAGCAGTTGAGAAGTGGAACCCGTACTATCTTGGCTCAAAAGATGTTAATGGTCTAATCAGAGTATTAGGTCTTAGAAGTTTAATGCTGAGCTACTAATATCCAGGCAAATCAGTGGAATTGGGATAATTACAAGGCTGTAATTACCCAAGTTCTGTGGCTGAGTTGTTTCAGATTCTCTTAAAGAATTATGCCAAAATAGGATCCTTAGTATTACTCAAAGTCTTCTAAACAATCATTTTGATATATTTAAGAATAACATGGAAGCTTATTCTGGTAAAAAAAAGGAGTGCTTTCATCAAGATATATTGGATTTTGAACGCTATTATTAAGGGCAGTATAATAAAAACATTATGGAGGGACTACATATGGCAGCTACTTTTCTACTAAGAATGATTAATAATACACTTGCAAATCTAGAAAATCTACTTATTTCTGAAGCTTTTTGAGTAATTTTTTTTATCTATTTAATTGAGTCATCTTTGACTAATTGAGTTCATCTTTGACTATTTAATATGCAACTGTTTCTTATCAGACCAAATATACAAAAATATGAAATTATCCTTGATATGTCTCAGTAAAAACAAATTTTGTTTGTGTTATGGTTATAAAATTCAAGTTCGTTTTCAATAAAATCATTTTTCCACAGTTTTTAGATGTAAGCAATTAAAAAGTGACACTTTAAAATAAAGGACAAAATTTTGTCACATGGTGTCATTGAGATAATATATTATCATCACCAAGTTTGAATAAAACAAAAATATTTGAGAAAATACAATAAAATCACTAAGTGTGAATAAAACAAAAAAAATTGAGATAATATATCAATACCAATAAGTGTAAATAAAACAAAAATAATTGAAATAATATATCAATATCACCAAATGTGAATAGAGTAAAAAATTTTACTAATTATAAACTTTTCAATAAAAATATGTATGAACAATAATTTATAAGATAAAAATATTAGTCTTAAATTAAATTGTTGTGATGCTTTTTTTATCTAAGAAAATTTACTATATATAAAAAATCAGAATATCTAAATGTGTGAAAAATAAACAAACACATCAAAATAATTTAGTTAAAATTTTAATTTACCTTAATAAAACTAAAAAATATTTCTTTCTTTCTAAAGAATTATTTTTACAAAAACATTTTATAATTATTTTTAATCATTTTTGTTTACAAAAAATGATTAAAAAATTAAAACCTGATTTGTAAAAGCCTTTTTCACAATCTCTACTTCTTTTTGTAAATTTTTGTTTACAAAAAATGATTAAAAAATTAAAACCTGATTTGTAAAAGCCTTTTTCACAATCTCTACTTCTTTTTGTAAATTTAAGCGTTTTTCAATTAAAGAATCTTTATTTTCTATTGATGTCTGCAATTTTACATCATTCAACAACAACTTTGTTTGAGCAAAACTATCTTCTATTGCACTCAATTGAAGCTCAGCTTTTTTCAAGTGTCTATTTAAACAAAGCCAAATTATAAAGAAAATAATTATCTAAATGTTTATATAACAAAAAAATTTCATTTGTAAAATATATGAAAAAGGATTTTTAAGTTAGAAATTATTAAATTTCATTAATAACAATCATAAAAATCTTCAAAATGGTAATGAAAAATACTAGTAATCTATTTTTTTAAATAAATTCTTTCCTAATAAGAGTGCAAGCAAACACTATTTAAGTTAGGATTAACAGAAAACAAAGAAAAAAGTTAAAGAGCGAGAAAATGCTTAAAAAAATTAATAAACTGTAAAGTGTATGAATCAGGTAAACACGATGAGAAAAAATACAAAGAATCAACGTTAGCGGAAATTAATTAGACAAATAAAAGTTTTTTGAGCATAAAGAAATAATTCAATATTTAAAAAAACTTGCTTAGATATGCCATATGAAGCAAGCTTAATTTGGTGTGTTTATATATCATACAGCTATCAGAATTAGATTGGGCAATGGCAACCAAACTGCTGACTTAACCTTTGTTGTTAAAGTGTAAACTTTGTTTGTTGCTATTATATTGCGAACCTGATGCTGACTAAAAATAGTTTAAGGTCACCAGTTTATTGCCAACCTTTGTTTGTTGTTAAAGTGTAACCTTTGTTTTAAATTATTACCAACCTGATGCAAACTAAAAATAGTTTGAGGACACGAGTTTATTGTCGACCTTATTTTATTTAATTCTGAGGGCTGTATCATATGAAGAGAATATATGCACCACATCCATCTAATGTAAAATAAAATCATTCTGTTGCAACAGTTAACAAGTCTGCTGGAAAACAAGAGTCAAAATTTTTATTAATTGTCAAATTAAAATCTTAAACTCTAGATGAGATTTTAGAGGGTTGTTAATTGAAGCCTCAAAAACCTAGCTGACAACCATAAGAAAACTGGTTTAAAAGGGTCAGAGTGATCTCCAGAGCTTTTAAAAATTGGAACCACAGATAAAATCTTGCAGCAGGCAGGTAAAACAGTTAGGTGAGGGCAATAGTTTTTTATGTTTAATATTTTTGGTTTTTTTGGGCATGGTTTAAGTTTAAAGAGAACTAGACTCATTCATAGGTAGAGCACAACCAATGAAGTATGCAGTTGTCTCAGTCTTGCTAACCCAAAGTCGTAACTTTATGCTTCATATGTGGCCTTGACAATGGACACCAAAAGCACTAACAGGGACACCATCTATGCCCAACATGGCACTGTTAATAATTTGGTATTTTACAACTGTTGATAAAATCAACCTCTCTGAGAGCGCTACCTCAAAGTTCAGGAAACCTTAATACCAGCTGGCATCAGAACCATCAAACTTAGTTCGAGAGCTGTACCCTCATTAGAAGATATCAGGAAGAGTTGCATAGCTACTATCATAGAGGCACAACTAAAAATATATGAGTAGAATCATAAAGATCTAGCATTCATCATCCTAAACCGAAAACAATCTAACACAAGTTTAAATCTATGCCAGCCTAATTTACTTTTGAATTCCATCTTGCCACTGCAGGCAAAGTTGGATTCAAAAGGCTTTAAAAAAATATTATTTTTGTAATTTTTTTTCTTATTTTTATTTAATATTTGTAACATTTGTATTAAAAACAACCTGGTAGTAATAAGAAAAAAGTGGTGTGTTAATATTTTTGATTTTAGTTGATATTTTTGAAATTTTAGTTTGCCATTGCCACAACTAAATGTAAATTAAACAAATAGGTAAATAACTAACTTTAATTCCTTATCTCTCTCTTTTGATTTTCTTGCATTTAATCTGGACTCCGTTTTCAATTCCATAGCTAAATGCATTATTTTTAAATCTAATGTAACTCTAGAAAAAACAAAATAAATTCAAATTTTATCATTAAAATCAAATTTTGTTACAAGATAGTGTAGCTTTAAAAAAAAACAACTGATAAGAAATTATAAAAGTTTTTATATAAAAAAATAACATTTAAAATCAATAGAAAATTACCTATCGCCAAGTAGCTCAGCTTGGTGATCTTTTCCAAACTCATATTCCTTTACAAGAAGATCAGCTTCTTTTTCCTTACACATCAAAAAATCAAGATTATCAGAATAACAATTGATTTAAAGAAATTCAAATTAAATAAATCTGAACAGAAATAATATTATAAAACAGTTCAGGGTCATTTATTCAAATAAATCAGTACGGGATCATTCATTCATATAAATCAGTTCAGGGTCATGAGCAAAATAATGATCATTTAATTGGTCATTAATATTATAAATCAGGGTCGTTAAAGCAAAAAAGTTAATGGTTTCTATTAGCATTTAATAACTATTAGATAAAAATGTTAATAAAAAATATTTTAATATATTTGGAATAGCATAACCAATAATATAAAATTATTAATTAATTAATTATTAACAAAGGGAGTATTGTTAAAAAGTAAAAAAAATGAAAGAAAATATTCACTTTAACATCTTTTTGCTTTTAAACTTTTTACTTTAAAAACCTGCTATGAATCAATATTTCAGATTTATTTATTTCAAATTAATGACAAATAACCTTTTTTTGACATGTTTCTTGAAGCTGTTCTAAAACTACAATCAGGTTCTCCTTTTCTTTATCAAGAGCAGCAACTCTGTCAATCATTTCAGAAATCTAATTTTATTTTAACAAAAACTAAACTTTAGCTGATCTAAATGATAAATAACATTTTTATATAAAACCTATTTATATGTCTATTTATATATTTATATCTATATATGTAAATAGTACATACATTTATATATATATATATATATATATATATATATATATATATATATATATATATATATATATATATATATATATATATATATATATATATATATAAATGTATATATAAATGTATATATTATATACATTTAAATATATATATATATATATATATATTTATATGTCTATTTTTATATTTATTTTTATAGTTCAATGATATTTGAAACTCAAAAAGATTCCATTTCAGTATGTAAACAAGCCAAGTAATCATGTAAATTGAGTCTTTCAGTATATTATATATTAGTATAATTTGTCATTTGACTTTACAGAAGAAGTTAACATTTATATTATGTAATTAGTTTGTTGTATCAAGAAGCTATTTGCAGATTATTTGTCATAATAGAGAACTACTAAGATCAGAGGATAGAGGTGACTTTATTAAATGTTTTAAAATACAAACAAAGCAAAGTACTGTGATCCAAACTTGTCCTAATTACATTGACTCATTAAATGGTCCATATTCAAGTATCAGAGGAAAACCACACAAAGAATACAGACAGTTTACTTACAACAGTTGCTGCAAAAACTTCTTCAGCAGCAAAATAGTGTCATTATATAACAAGCTACCTGATCACATAGCAACATCATTTTACTATAGTAGAGTTTAAGAAATCCTTTTCTGCAAAGAATTGCTCTATGTTGAAGAGAAATAATAAATAAGCAAAAAAATAAAGTATATTTAAAATACCTACTCCAATATTGATTTCCTGTACAGCAATATCACAAAGCTTAGCTTTCTCAGATGTTTTTCTAAACACATAGATTGTTTTAAACATTAATTTTGATTAATTTAAAATTTGTTTCTGTATTGATCTTGATATTGGTTTTAAAACAACTGTTTTAGAAATTTAAGCTCTATAATAATTTACATACTAATATTTTTTTTATTTTTTCATTCTATTTCTTTCTCAAATATGTTTTATTGTTGCACAAGCTATCACATCAACTTAAAATTTTTGAGAAAAAAAAAGTTTTATTAACTAAAATAAATTATTATTTAATTAACATATTTTATAAGTTTAATGTTAAATATTTTTGTAGTATACCCAACTTTGTTGCACCAAAAACAGATCATGCTGTATAACCTGTTCAATCATTATATCAAGGCAAATATTAATCCCATCAAGGTTAGCACACTTTAGTAGTAGTGTAGTGATAGAGCCCTTACTTTGTAAACAATAAGTTCCGAGTTCAATTTTCACCCTGTCCTTGGTAGTAACTCATTCAACTTGCTTTTTTGAGAAGCAGCAGCCTTGTTTGTCAAGATTCTTGTGTCAGAGTTAAAGAGTTAAAAGAGAGTTGTAACCACAAAAAGAAATCCTCCTTGACTGTAAAAAAAAAGGCCTACTTGACTGTAGTGGCCTCTTCTACCTTAAGGAGATATAAAATAATATTAAAAAAAAAACTTAATCACATCGATTTAAATTAAGTAAATATTTTGGGCTAATTAATGACTCTGATTAAATGAATTTTTTGAGATGATATAAACAATTTTAATCAAATTTTGCATTTATGTTTGGTTTTAACTGTTTAAAAAATAACAACAACATAAGTTAAAAAATATGTGACATTTGTATAGAAATTAAAAAACCCTTAATATTTTAAATTTTACTTTATTGAACTTTTTTAAATGTTACTTTAATAAACTTTTTGAAATTTTACTTTATTGAATTTTTTTTATTGTTACTTTATTGAACTTTTATGCCCATTGAAAAGCTCTTTTCAAAAGAAAAAAACATTGATAAACAGAACACTTATGTATTAAAGTTATATGATAAAGTATGTTTTTACTTTTCAAAAATGTTTTTAAAGATTTTTCTTATCATTCAAATACCTTTAACCCCTATAACATTTTAAAGTTATGTCTCAAATTGGTTACAACTGGTATCAAGGTTACATTTTTATATATTTAATAAATTAAACTCAATAACACAGTAAATATTTTTTTTAACATTGCCATTTTGCTGTTTATCATATTTTATTTTTATTTTGTTATTAAAATATTGATTACATTCAAGCCTTCATAGAATATTTTAGGTATGGTTATTCAAAATTCCTTATATATATGTAAATATATATATTTTTTTAACTTTTTGCTGAAAACAAGAAAATTCTAATGCTTTTTCAAAAACTGGTATTTATTTATGCTTTTTGTTGAAAATTTATAATATTTTATTAAAAAAATTAAAATCAATATATATTCTTAAATCATTCAAGGATTTATCATTTTTAATAGTTCATTTTATAAACCAGCTGATCAATTGTTTCAAATTTTAGAAGGAAAAATAAAAACTTTGCCTGTTTCTCCCAGTCTTTGATTATTAATCACTCTTACAATTACGATTATTAATCACTGGTTACATGACAAATGACTGCCATTTTTACGTAAATGAGACATTACTTTTTTACATAACGGATATATATCAAATTCCCATTGTTTAAAAGTAACCAAAACATTTTTATGCAAAAAGACAGAACATCTTTACATAACCATTTTCCATTGGTTTTGTAACATTTTTACACAAACAATGTCCATTCTTACATAATTAAGATATTAAATTTTTTTTTTTATAATATAAATAATTTTTATAATAGTCTTATAATTTCCAATAATTTATAAAACACCTTAAAGGGTGAGTTATTTTGAAAAAACAACAACAACCTATTTAACAACTCTTCAGTGACTTCAACTTTGGCTGGCCTAAGGGACAAAAATTAGACCCTTGTAAACATTGTAACATGTAGCTTTGACCTTGTTATTATTATTATGATCTGGTTAAAAACTCTAATTACGCTCTGATGTAATTTTTTGTGTCAGGTTTTTCTAATGTTTAAAAAACATTTCTTTTTTTATTTATAAAAAATCTGAAACTCTTTTACTACCACTAATACATGACATAAATATATCAACTATGATGTCATTCGAATGATTTCTTTCAAGACCAAAATTCAATTTAAAAATTTGAAAGAAAAGTCATCCAGTGCATCATCATTGACAAACATAGGTGCAGATAAAGGTACAACATTTTTTGGTACCTGAATAAGTATGTCTATCATTCTAGTCTCTTGGATGCAACATGTTTAGAATATAATATATTCATAAAAGGTACCATTTATTAATTACTCAAACTAACATTTTTGCAATAAAGTAAATGTTAAATATTTACTAAGTAAACTTTTACAGTGTGAAATCCCAATCACATTTTTACATTATATTACATCTTTTTTTGGATTAAACTTTTAAAGTATGTGCTATTATGTAACATTTTTTATGTTGTGCTATGTTTTGATTGATTATACTTCTGAAAATGATTTTAAAAACTATGACCTTAGTTACTTAAGTAACTTATTTAGTTACTTAATATTTACTTAGTTACTTAAGTAAACTTTAAATTGTTGTTAAATAAGATGTTTGTATTTTTAAAATTTATAAATGTGTAAGTAAAAGTAATATTCAAGAAGCATATCTCAAATTATCACAAAAACTTTATAAATAATAATAATCTTGAAATAAATAAGCATAGGTGTATAAACAAAGTTGCAGAGATCAGGCTGAGGCATGGCACATCTAGAAGGATTGGTTAGATTTGAACCTCAAACATCTTAGTTGCGAGCAAAAGGTTCTACTACTAATTCTACTGCTTGATCTTTCTGCTCAAATTGTTCTAAAGGGTGGCAAGGGTGGTTTTTTGAGAGTGGTAAAAATTAACTATATCTTTCCCTTTTAAAATCTTGTACATTTGAATCAGATCCTATCGTCTTCTTCTATCTTGCAAAGTTGCAATTCTAATACCTTTAATCTTTCTTCATTTGGCTTGCCCTGTAAAAATTCAATTTTTGTAGCCCTGTGTTGCACTAATTCAAAATTTTGAATGACTTTTATCCATTGTGGACTCGACACTGTTGCTACATATTAAAAAGGAAGACATAATAAACATTTGTTTAATAATTTTCATGAAAATCCATCGAAATACATAAAAGAATTTTTAATCATGCCTAATGTCAATAGCTGAATTATTGTGATAACTCCATTCTAGATTATTTGAAATGAAAATACCAAGATCTTTTTGTATTGTTGTCTCTGTTGTTTAATTTATATTTACAGTAGCATCCAAAAATTTGCCAACAAGGTTAAAAACTTGAATTTTATCAATATTTCAACACATACGTTACTAAAGCCAACATAATATAAACTAATTGAAAGGTTTTTATGTTTACTATACTGTTTTGAAGGAATATTGATAATTTGATATACGTATTTCAATTGATTAAAAAAAAAAAATTTTGATGAGTTCAAAAATTTGCAAACAAAGCGTTTATATTTAAAAATGAATTTTCCAACAATATTTGATTAAAATTTATTAGAAAAATCGCATTATTATTTTGTAGGACTATCTTTACAATCAAGAATGACTTCACATCTATGAGGCATAAAGTCAACTAAATTAATCTAAACATTAATAAAAACAAAGTGCATAATTTCTTTAATTTTTCTGAATAAATTATTCTGAAGCATGATTTGTAGCTTAAATATGCATAATATTTGACGATAAACATGTTCTCATAAATAATCAATTGCATCTAATCTCAAATAACTCAGTTGATTGGAATATCAACTTGACAACACGAACTTTGAAGAATTTTTGAACCAATTTACCTGTGTGTTTTGGATTATCATGATGGTATATCCATTCGCAGTCAACACGCTCCTGACATTTTTTCTTTTGTATGTGGTAACACAATGCTCTTACATATGTTTTTGTATATTTCTTGATCAATAGTTATAGTATATCTATAGAGCAGATCAATACCTTCCCGACTAAAACATCCCAAAATCATTACATTACCTTCTGTATGTTTTAATGTAAGCATATTACATTAAGAGATTTAGGATCCTATTTTGAACTTAATAAACGTCAATTAAACCTGATTCCATCTGATCAGAACAGCATTAACTTGTTTTCATTACTAAAAAGAATCTTTGACCAATATTGGCTACTCCACTTTAGATGCAGTGATCCCAACTTTTCTTAGGCGTTTCTGTTTTTCAAAGTGAACAATGGTTTATTAGGATGGACATCTTCATAACACATTTACATGACGAAAACAACTTTGTAATAGAAATACTATAATTGATTCCATAAAAATGTTTTATTTCTTTTTTTCATTTGAATCAATAACTATCAAATAGAGTTTTTCGTTACTTAGTATCCCAAGTTTTCGAGCTTTTTCAAACCTATCACTGATTGCTTTCAAATTTTTGTGGATCCAGAAGTTCATATCTATTCATAATTTGTCTATCAGCAGACTACCCGACTACATAAAAATGTGCTGCCTAATGAAACAAATTTCCATTTGAACTAATCTTGCTATAACCTGGAAATATTATACATTTTTATACCCCCTGACCTCAACCACTTATAAATGAAGCTTTTTAATTATTTCCACAGAGTATTTGTTTACAATATCAATATACTAGCAACTTTTTGGAAAAAATGTGAAAAGCTTCAGTTTATCCGCAAATTTTTGAGCTTATTTAAAAATCATTAATCTTTAAATTAATTAAAGTATATTAATTAAATAATGTTTGCTCAAAACATAACAGTAAACAAAAACCTTTTAATTGGTATATAGCATGTCGGATTTAGTGAAGTAAGTGCTGAAATATTAGTAAAATTTTAATTTTAAGCTAAATTTTATTTAGCTAGTCAGAAAATTTTTTGTTGCTATTGTATATCTCGGATTCTTTTTATCAATAAATATTAATCCAAATTTTGATTAGTTGAATTTAATTAACCAATTTTCAGACCATTTCACTGTTTATGTTCTCTCGTAATAACTTGTTACCAACATGACAATAATTGATTGAAATAATTATGATATCATTTAGATACAACTTTATATCTATAATAATTTTTCTAGGTTAGTTATTAATAAAAATTATAAATAGAAGAGGTCCAGTTACTGAGTAGTAAACATCTTTTAACTTGAAATATATACTCCTATCACCTCTCTCTGACTATGGTTGGACAAAAAGGCTTTGCACCAATTCAACAAAAACAAATCTCAGTCCACATAATTTCTTTATTAATTGTATGAGAGAATGAATTAAATATTTTTGGGAAATCCAAGAATAAAACTTCTATCAAAAAATCTTCTCCATACACTTGCATTATTAAAAACAATGTTTCCAACAAGTTTGTTATACAATTTTTGTTACTAACAACAGAATTTTGCTGATTCAAGTATAAGAGCAAAGTTACAATATTTATAACTTCATGCAAGGTGCATAAAATGTGCTGCCGAAAGATTTTTAAATATATATAAGGTTGATCAACAGATTCAACACAGCAATTAACAATTTTTATAAATGTTAATAAAGACATAAAATAATTTTGCACCTCTAATTTGTAAAACATAGAGGCACTAAATATATTTTTTCAACAAAATGATAAAGACTTCAGAAAAATTAACCCATATATTATTTCATTTAACACAAATTAATTTGAAATCAAATATCTTCACAATTATTACAACTTGCAAACTTTTTTATAAAAAAAAAATATATATATAAATTTGTATACAACTGCAATTTGTAAGATATTCTTACATTAATATAATATTTTTCTTATAATATAATTAAGTGCAAAACAATTCATGATAGTAATACAAAAAAATCGCAATAACTTATTTAAATGCATTATTGTTCCCTGATAAATTACCTCAATTTTCCAATGATCAGTTCTGACTTTTTAGATAAATGATCATTATGCATGCGTATTAACTCCTCCTAAAATGAAATTTTTTTTTTTAGTTTTGTTAGTTTCAAAAACTAAATAACCATAATTAAAAAATTGTTAACAGAATACGATAAGACCTTTTGATCTAACTCCTCTTTTCCTATATTTTCCATTTCTTTTTGTAAAACCATAATTCGATTAGACTTAGTCATGCCTTCTTCATTTAAATGTTTACACTCATTAGCTCTTTGATTAACTTCTTGTCTAAGACTTTCAACTTCATCTTTGTATTTTATTACACATGCATCTACCTCTTCTTGATTTGGCATTCTAAAAACTTCTTGTTGAAGAACCTTTTTTTCTTCAAGTAAGGATTCTAATTGATATTCCATATTAATCATGCGTTCTGTGCTAGCAGCGAGTTCATTATTGTACTTTAAATAAGTGCAGCGCAGTTTATTCACTTCACTATCATCATCAAAAGGAAACTGTTCACTTTTTTGAAGTTCTGCGGTTTGTTTTTCAATTATTTCTAATAATTTAATTCCCTCATTAATATATATTTTTTCCATCTCAGTAGCTGCCTCATATGAATTTAGTAGCTTTACATATTTAGATTTCAGTATCAAATATTTCTCATCACTTATATCTGCTTTCTTGCAAAGCTAAATGAAATATATATATATATATATATATATATATATATATATATATATATATATATATATATATATATATATATATATATATATATATATATATATATATATATATATATATAAAAGAAAATAAAAACTACGTGATTTTCACAACTTTAAGTTTCATGCTGTTGCAATCATCAGGTGAAATGCAAATATAGTTTGTTCGTTTAAAAAATTATATACAATTGAAACTATACAGAAAAAACCTATACGGAAAAAACTTTTTTTATTGTTATGACCGCGTGTATCTAATCTTCAGGTTTGTGACTGCTCAATAGAAATTTATTTTTGTGATGACACTTAGAAATCAACTATATATATATATATATATATATATATATATATATATATATATATATATATATATATATATATATATGATAGGGGTGTCTCATTATTTTTTAATACGCTTTAAAATCAGGTGGTATTATGACAGGTGTCAAAACAGGTGTCGCAAAAAAACAGGTGTCATAAAAAATGTGGTGTGATATATTTCTTTGTCATAAAGCTGATTTATGGATTGACATCTTAAGCAAAAAAAGAAGAAAGAGAAGTAAGAACAAAATGATAACTGATATGACACATAAGATGTCACTCCATAAATCAGCTTTACAACGAAGAAATATATCACACCACATTTTTTATGACACCTGTTTTTTTGTGACACCTGTTTTGACACCTGTCATGACACCACCTGATTTATAGCACCTGTCATGACACCGCCTGATTTATAGCACCTGTCATGACACCACCTGATTTATAGCACCTGTCATGACACCGCCTGATTTATAGCACCTGTCATGACACCACCTGATTTATAGCACCTGTCATGATACCACCTGATTTTTAGCACCTGTTTTGACACCATTTCATGACACCACCTGATTTATAGCACCTGTTTTGACACCTGTCATGACACTAACTGATTTATAGCACCTGGTATGACATCACCGAATTTATGACAAATATATAAAGTTTATAACAAATATATAAAAGTTTTTCAACCCCTCCCCTCACTTCCACCACAATAAACCTTTTTATAAGAGAAGAGAAACTTTTTATATAAAAAAGTTTAAAGCATATTAAAAAATAATGAAACACCCCTATCATCATATATATATATATATATATATATATATATATATATATATATATATATATATATATATATATATATATATATATATATATATATATATGTGCGTGTGTGTGTGTGTGTGTATATACAGATTCAAATATATGAATATTTAGTGGTAAAAACCTGTGGTTTAGAATGTTTTTGAATTTTCAACTCAAAAACAAAGTGTTTTTGATGAGCTTTTGTGTCTTGACAATGTTATTAATCTGGACAATAAATCTATAAAAATAAGTTAATAAAAATAAATAGATATCTAGAAAATGTGATGAAGTTTTATAACATTGAGTTAAAAAACATTTTACAATTCTGAATTTACAGCTGTAAAAATTCAGAGTAAAATTTCCACTGGTAGCATATTTCTTTGATGAAAAGTTTTGTAACATCAACCCCCTAGTTGTATTTTAAAAACGCACAAATTTGTAAGAAATTAAAAAAAAAAAAGTGATTTTCAAACACAATTACGTTGAGGCCCAATACACAGCAATTTAAAATTTGTTAAATTTTTTTGATCTCAGAAAGTTCACTGACTTCAAGCCCTGACTATTTAAAAAAGGATTTGTGCAGGGTTAGTTTTATGGCCAACCATTATTCTTCCTAATCCCCAGACATCAGCTGTAAATAAAACTATTAAAGAGGAAGAATAAACTGTATAAATCTCTGAATTAGAACTAGAATAGTTTTAATGCAAACAATGAGACAGTGCTGTTACAATTTCATAATCGAGTCAAGGGCATCTGGTTGAGTATCTGGATGAGTAGCAGGCTCTATTGGTGCCCAAAATATGCAGGAATATGAAAGATAACAAATGGTTAAAAAAAATAAATAAGATAAGGATAAAATAAAAACACTTTGAACACCTTCATTCAAAAACAAGTTATATAAGTTTCTAACTAAATTTTAAAATTATTTACATTTAGACTTATGAGAAGTGCAGAAATTATTGTGAATTTTCAGAAAAAAATCAGGTCATTAGGTAAAAACTGACAAAATGGTGATATTTCACTTGCTAGGTTTTTTGCAAAGATATTTTGCTGCATAAAATTCAAGTTACATTTCCCCATAATCAGGCAGGTTGTTATTGAGAGTGATAAAATAGTTAAAGAGACCAATAGAATGGCATACTAGATTTCTCTCTCTCCTGGGCATCGTGGTTTTTGACCTGAGAGTTTTCTGATTCTGCAGTTTTTAAAATAAAAGTTCCATAAGTTTTGATTTTTAGTGTTATTATTTAAGAGTAATATCAATCATATAAAAATTTTTTTTTTAAATGTTATATAAGTTGAAACTTTTTAAACAAATTGTTTAAAAACAATGGTTTGCAAAAAGGTTATAAGTTAGATGTAAAAAACAAAAAAATAAATCTAAAACAATCTTCAAAAACAATTTCTCCACTGACAGACTTTGCTTAAAGTCAGTAGAAATAAAATAGATTTCTCCACTGACAGACTTTGCTTAAAGTCAGTAGAAATAAAATAGAAATGAAATCTATAGAAATAGCAGTTTATCTTTTCAAAATTAAATGTAATAATTTTGTAGTAGTGTCATTTTAAACCTTATTTTATTTATATTGCATTATTTTTAATTTACACTTTAAAGATCAATGAGACTAATTGCAGTTGTGTAATTATACTGAATATGAGCCTGCTGTAGAGGTGGCATTAAAATACAATCATACAAGGTTTTAGGATCCATTAATTGTAGTGCTGGCATTAGCATCTTTTGTTATCAATCAATAAAAATAGTGAAAGTTTTTTATACAACCCAAAAGGAGGTCCAAAATGATGTAAAAACAGATAGAATCAAAGCTAAAATTCTATTGAAAGCAGTTTTTGTTGATAAAGACAAGCCACTAGGTCTTGAATTGTATGTTTTACTAGACTACTGGTTAATTTTTGATACTTAACATCATAGTTTGAAAAAATGCCTATGGATGAGATTCCCTCAGACTTTTTGGATACAGTGTAAAATTGTAAAGCTCTTCCATGTTGCTAACAATTCATCAGAACTCACAGCAAAATCGAAAAACTAATTGTCTTGTTTTTAGAAATAACTTGCAATGTAAAATTTATTCAAGATAATATAGAGTATGTGATTAGCGAAGAGAAGCTTGTGAAGCTACTCTAAATAAAGAGTTCTTGTAAAAAACCATTAAAAAAAAAGATGATTGGTTAAAAGGAGCTACCTATGGGATCTGCTCCCTTATTATTGGCTATGAGTCAACAATTCAAAACACTTTGAATTGTTTCATTTCAATACCTAACTGTAAAATAATATATAATAATATAAACGTTTTCATACGTTTTCATACGTCCACCATATTTGGCGCTCAAACAGTCAACGCTGTTGAAAACGGTCTAGAATAGCCCCTGTATATATATATATATATATATATATATATATATATATATATATATATATATATATATATATATATATATATATATATATATATATATATATATATATATATATATATGGTTGTGCTTATGGCAATGGTGTAGCAAAACAAAAGAAAAGCAGTAATAAATCATTTTAATTCAAACAAGTTCATAGTTTACTCACTTAAATATTAAACACTGTATTGTTTAATAATAAAATGTTCTCTAAACATTCTAATGAAGCATTGACATAAGCTTTAATAAAAAAAGCCTATAGAGATCCACCCAAATATTGACAACTCCCAAGTTACCAAACAAAATCACTTTCAGATAGGTATTGTTACACTTAAATTAAACATCAGGAAGTAAACAGTATGGTTGAATAAGTAGCTCTCTTGT